GCATAGCGTCGTGTCTCTAGAAAGAGATTGAATTGAAGTGGAGAAAAGAACTAGCCGATGTCAAAGTTACGCTGTGAAAGATGGGTTACTTTCCATTTTTCTGCGAATAAATTGTGCGGTTTATTAGCCAGCGTTAACCTGGCAGTGGGATTGCCGCATGACACGCAATTTGCAGATTTTTGCGGTGTAGAGTGGAGTGAAATAGGATGGAAAGAAAAATTTGCTGGGTTTTTGACACCAAAAAGTTGGCTAAATTCAGTTATCCAGTCACCAACTCCAATCATGCACGCCCAAATTCTGGTATTGGGGTACCAGATACAGGCTGTCGAAGCCTCTTCTCCTGTTTCATCAAACAACGCCACCACAGTTATTATGAACTATTGTTGCTGATTGTGAAGACGTTTTGTTGACCGATGGTTGGATTCCTATGCACTGTGCACATAAGTTTTCTGCTCTCCAATACAGTAAAATGCTAGATAGCTGAGCTAAGTGACTAATGACAAACCATTTAAACTGACACTATTATTAGTTTTTGCTCATTCACTCATCTCTAACTGATTTGTACATTATGCGTGTGCTGACTCTGCAAGCCAACAAAAAGCAACTTATATGGACGCTTACGAATGACTTACCCTTAATATATTACTAACTGGTCGAGTACGAGCAACCTGACAAGGAGGTTTTCAAAGAGGTGTCACCCACGCAAGATATGGAAATTCTTTAAATTTCATTTATCACACCATACCATTGTAAATACAGTATCAAGGATTACAAGGGTATTATCACTAAAGGATTTAAGCGAGGGGCATCCGCCAGAGTTCAAATTAACGGGGAGTGGGAGTGGCTGGAGATTGTCCCGGAACGGACTTTTGTTAGAGAAACACACATGCACCGTACTTTCCTTTCTTTACAGGATGCTCTGGTTTATTTCGATTGTTTGCGCTCTCTATTCTCCGCTGACTCTGCTGTTGCGAAACCCTCCCAGGCGTGATGAAGCCAGGGTAAGTTCCGTGTCCATCATGACACATCTTCAATGAGAGCTCAATGCGAACGAACAGTTGAAATGCAAAACCCTCTTGGCACAAAAATCATAAAACAAAAAATTCCGGTCGCAAAATCCGAAAAGGCGTTACTACATGTTCTGTCTAGTCTGTGCCTCGCACAAACCACAGTATGAGGAAAAATCCTCGCATAGCTGAACCGNGATCGATCGCGGCCAGGTTGCAAGCTCGTCTTCGTCAATGCTACATAACCCGTGAGGAGTAGTGGCACTAGCTGAAAAGAATGAGCACCTCTTCCAAATTATTCTTATCAGCTGCAAAGCTGCTATCGACGAGTTGTTCCGATGTCAAGAATTACACGAGTCTTCATCCACTTACGACTGAATTTAATTAGGTGACTGACATTTCACTTGACCAAGCACATAGATATAGGCGCAAACCAGCCACCTCTGGTTAAAAATTATGGGATATAATGGGATAATGTTGTCCTGTGAAACAAAGCTTTTCGCCACTCGATAGGCATGCTACTCGAAATTGTCTAGACATTTTGTATTAAAGGACACCCAAAATTACATAATTTTGTCGGAAGCGAAAGACCTAACTTCATCAATGCTAAAAAACCTTTTCAATGCCCGATGTCAGTTTATACTAGCGCCAAAAGTGATAAACAGATTGTGAGAATATTGAAAATTACATAATTTTGTCGGAAGCGAAAGACCTAACGTCATCAATGCTAAAAAACCTTTTCATTGCCTGATGTCAGTTTAGACTAGCGCCAAAAGTGATAAACAGATTGTTGAGAATATTGGTAGCTTGGTCTCTAACGATGGCCGTTGGTTTTGACAGTTCCGTTTCGTCATCGGCGAATGGTTTTGAAGCGCAGTGGATCTGCGCGTTGGTGGTTGTGGGCTGACTAGTAAAGTATGTCAGTTGATATACATGTTTCTGAACAGGATGACCTTTGATTAATTGGTCGTCTGGACGAGACTCAGTCGACCTTTGAACTTGACCACTCCCATTTAGCTGGATTTACTACTTCCTAAGCTTTTTCGGCTTATTTCCTGATATCTGACTGAATTCGTTTGAGGAATAGGTCGAGTTCTTTCCTCATTCTTTCACGCATTTGGTACGAATGGTATTGTTTTGTCATGATGACAGCATATGCGGTTTGTTTCAAAAAAGAAGCTGACATCGCTCTTATCGTAAGTATTATTCATTGCATGATGTGGTCGGTTCTACTGATCTAGATCAAAAAGTATTCGTCAGGTTGTCAGCGTATAAATAAGGAGTTGCAAACTGTCGTCAATTTCACTAGCTAATTTTGAGCCTTCAGATTTCACCCACATAAATGGATTAACAAAACGTCCAAAAAGCTTTGGGGATACTCCAGTGATTTGATACCTACTACAACGGCCAGCCTAGACCAATTCATTTGAGATCTGGTTAACTGCAGCTAGCAGTACACGCGTGGTAAAGTGATACTTGACAGTAAGAGGCAACTGGTTACACCTAGGATGCCATTACGAACACGATATAGCATACTTTTGAGAATTTTTGGCAAAGGAGCTGGAATAGTGTAACTACTTAGAAGGATGAGTACTTGGAAATACCCCTGCAGATGCTGATGGATATATTGAGACAGCAACAACCAACAGCAAAGGCCGAGGGCAAGTTCTCTCGATATAGGACAAGTCAACCAATTGTGTGGATTGACTAAGGGACAGTGGTTTAGTGAATCACTTCACGTTTTAACGTCTTGAGCGTTCTGGCCTTTCATAAGTTTGTAAAGAATTTCCTCTGAGACCCACGTTTTCAAATGAGCAATACTTCATATCACACAATTGTACATTTTTTTAACATGCACACCAACACTTACATTTATACTCATAAGTCCACTTTTAGATTCGTGAAGTTGGTGGAAGGCCTAAATATGCCTTCAAAATTTACGTGTTTTCTCCCATGATGAATTTTTTTTCAAACAACGTTCAACTCACGAAAACTATCGAGTTAGTGTGCAGACGCATCGGTTAGTGAGACTTGACATTCTATATTCCAACTATTTACAGAAGGGTAGTATTTCAGTCAACATTAACCATGGATTCCTAGTAGAAATCCGCAGAAAACCCATATATATTCAGGGAGGTACTTGCATTATGATTGTTCGCAACCACGGTACGTCAAACGCGCAGTTGTCGGATCGCTGGTGAATCGTGTCGGGACACTATGCTCGGATAAGTTCAGGCGACCAAACGAACTGAAGTGAGTCAGTAGGGTACTACAACAAAATAAGTGCTCAATAAGGCTCATTGCCCAATAAATGGACAGAACTCTACCGGAAACGGTTGGGCAGGATGACGAAAACCCAACGGTCACCGTGGGAATACTCTATAGAATTGGCACTTCAAAGGCCATTCGGAAGATACGTCTTCCGAATTGATAATGTCTTACAATGACACCTTGTAAGAGCCAAGGACTCTATCAAACCGAAATAGCACACTTTGTTTACCAAATCCTGTGTGTGGAATTTCAGGCCAAATACACAGGCCAGACAACCAGGTAACGGAGCACAACCGACATGCGAGTTTTCCTTAATTAAAAAACTCAGAATGGTTTAAAAACTTGAGCGCGACTCAGCCATTGCACTCCACGCACTTTAGTCAGGGTATCAAATCAATTTCGATTGTACACGTATACAGCAGTCAGGACTCAAGTCACACGTGGAACGGACGTGTGCTGAAGGCCTGGGGACAACGCAACCCAACCGCATCAAACGTGGTGACGGCACCAGCATCCCGTCTATTTGGTTGGGACCTATTACACACCTTAGTAAGCGTATTGGCTGGTTTTCAAGCTGGGATCACAACAATGACACATCACAGCCAGTACAACAACGGAAAAGGGCACATCCTGAGCATAGAACACGCGCTATCACGTGTACACGCACACGAAGTTAAAACATTCACACACGCTGGTTACGTCTGACTGGCAGCTGATCTCAGGAACACACCCATCAGAAGATATGATAGCGAACTCAAATAACAACGCATTTGACCCGCATTCAACTGGCTGTCAAAATCCTTGAAAAACGTTGCTTACGGCAACCTCAACGCCGGATTATAACATTCACTACGCTGTTTTGACTTTAAAATCCCCATAGAAACTAGTTGTGTGTTGTACATTCAGCGGGCAGTCCCTGTTTAATTCAGCAGCTGCGGAGGTCTTTTCCATCACTTCCTGTCGAGTGACATCATCAGGGGTCATCTTGAAGGTGATCAGCTGACTGATGAGCTTAGGTATACGTGTTTCTCTCAAAGATATGTAGACATTCTTGTTATCCTGTCTTTCGGTAATCGCTATTTTCCTAAAATTAACCAAAGGCCATCCTACCAGTATATGCTTTATTTCATGAATGTCTATGTGATCATGTCAGCAAGGTTTTCGTTAAGGGGACCCGTATACAGGAAGCCCACATGGACTGCGCAACACATGAAGTTCAATAGGCACGTGTCGTTGATGCAGAAAAAATGGCGAGACACCTCGACGAACCCAGCTCTACAGATATATCTTGGCGACACATTAGAAGCTGATCCGAAGCACATCATTTACGTGGCATGTGTCAGTCACTTTTCAGACAGATCATGTCCAAGAATATGGCTTCAGGACCTGTGATATCAGCTGTATCGACCGATGCAAAGAGGTCGGTCCGCTATCAAGGCTACCTGTCTGCAGGCACAGCAAATCCCGGCACTCTCCGATCCAAAGCAACTCCATAGTTGCCGTTTACCACAGGACTATTGCTCAGTTTCGTCTGCAAAGGCAAGAAAACTGTCGACGCCGAAATTGTTGATGTGTGGTCCCCTCGTGCTTTCTTAAGGAAAATATGTTATGCGGGTGACAGCACAATTGAGCGAAAGAATGCATGAGCACCTCTAACGCCGAATGAGCGGTAGACATATTAGCACATTCACTCGCACAAATAAGATCACGTTGCCTATAGTCACATAGTTAACCAAACGGCGTCACCTCGAGTAATCTGCGGAGTGCCCAGTAGACTTCCATTGTCGATTCGGAGGCATGCCTTGGCAACAGCCGAAGCACTGGCATCACGACTACATGACCGGGCACTGTGCAATCAAAACCTATTCGTACTAGGTTTGAGCTTGCTTTGGTCATGTAACACCCGCCATCAGATCAACTTAGTCAACAGAACCCTAGATCACTCTCTTTCCAATTTGATGTGACCCTATTTGTTCAACCAGTTAACTATCTATACAATCTCCGCTTTCAAAGCATCCAACCGATGTTGACTACACTTTTCGACTACCATTATTATTTCAGCTGTCAGTTATGGGAGCAGAGGACGAACATTAATTTTCATCATTTTGTTTTCTAGATAACAGTGTAGGGTTATTCAGCCAGAACCGTTTTAACTCCTGGCCGGAAAGCTACTTTGTTATTTCGGGAACCGATAGTTCATCGACTGATCGCTTGCAAACGTTGTGGGGTCGGTTGAAATAATGAAATAAACGGCTACTTTATTCATTGTGCGCTGATGAATGAATACACTAATTTTGCCAGATGTCGTTTCTGTGTTTTTGCAATTTGGTTCCGTGGATGAATTCCACCCACCTCCGTCCGTGTTTGCAAGATTCAAGGCGACGTAAGCTGATCCCCTTTTTGTTTTTTCCTCTCCAAAAGGCTTTGGTGGACCGCAATGCAGATAAGCCACCTGGTTCTATTAATAACTCTGCAATCGGAGACCCAATGAACACTGCAAATTTTACAAATTTGTCACTTGGGGCAACACTTGGTTACGACCCTACTGCTGGCGGACAGAGAAGCTATGGATATAACTGAAGGTTAGTAACTGAAGGCAGTGGATGTTCAAGTAGGATTAGCTTCGGGAGAACCATACTTTCTACGTTTGTGGGGTTTGTGAAAATCTGCGCATGAATTAACCGTGATGAAAAGCACTGTATTTTACTCTGTATGTGTTATTGTTCATGTTACACCATCTATGACAGCTCAGTTACCGTTTGGTTAGACGACTGGAATACGTGTCATTATTTAAGTCAGGTGACGAGACAGTCAGCCAGAGTTCATAGCCAGATTAATTGACCCACCCATAGGAAGTCGGGTCAACCACAGAGAACCATTCGGAGTCTTTCTGTGCAACGCCGACCTGAAACTATTGACCCTCAACGAAGAAATAATAATGATGTACTGATAATAATGTATAGTATGTATGTATGTATGTATGTATGTATGTATGTATGTATGTATGTATGTATGTATGTATGTATGTATGTATGTATGTATGTATGTATGTATGTATGTATGTTGTATTGTATGTATGTATGTATGTATGTATGTATGTATGTATGTATGTATGTATGTATGTATGTATGTATGTATGTATGTATGTAGTATGTATGTATGTATGTATGTATGTATGTATGTATAATAATGATGTACTGTAATAATAATGTACTGACCGAGCGTCTGCGTATCAAGAGCCCACTATTCTCACCCTGAGCTAGAGAAATCGATACACCGATTTACTCTCTCCATCGTTTTGTTCCCATTAAAACGGCTACAACCTTATTGTTTTCAGTATTGAGCGCACGAAATGACATTCCACAGCCTACATCTTCCCGTCCCATTGTGGAAGTTTAATAACGTACGAACTTGTCAATTTGGGTCAGCAACGTTTGGCAAAAATGTTCTTCCTTTCGGATCAATGGTCAACACTATTTCCTGAAGCAGGTTTCTTCTGGTAACCAGAGGATTCGGCTCATATTTGCTTGTATTTTCATTTTCTGATCAAAAATACACAGTGATATTTCTGCTGATCCCCCAAAATCAGTAGGCTTTGCCATTTACCACAAAAGTTCCTGCCCCCAGCTGGTGACCAGATGTCATCTCATTCGATTATCCAGCTTGCTAATTGGAACGAGGTTACTAATGCCTAATGAAGGGTTTCATTTAGTAAAATAGAGTGTAATCGACAATTCCGACATTTGTACGCAATCCTGCGCATTGCAAATGTCAAAATCTACTCGGCATACGCTTTGTTTGCCTCCAATATTCGACGTTACAAAAAAGGTAATAAATATATCGCCATAATACACTCACTAAATGGGCTTACGCGTTTACTTTCTGCAGAACGGCATCTAGACAAAAACTTAACGCGCAGGATCAAGATTCCGGATTACAACATTAATATCAGGTTGGGACTCTAGAATGGCGCACAACGGTTTACGGTCTGTAGAGTGACCTAGGTACAGGAGGAAAACTGTGGAGGAAGAAACTCTCCGGACACTTGTGGGAATCCTCATAAAAGGTTCCACACCGCACTACTTCCGAGACCTCCGTAGAACAGTAGTCTTTTTTCGGAGCCTCCTCCTTTTTGCGGAATTACTGTGCTACTCAATTTATCTATGCAAGATCCTGCTTCTGGTCGCCATCGACAGCGGAAGCATCCTTAGTTGAGTACGTGCGAAGTTGTGCTGTCGTCAGTAGCCGCTCGGCCTTCCAGTTGTTGCAATCTACAAGGGAAAAACATTTGCATAATTCAGCTAGTTAATTATCTTAGCTCCTGTGCCGTTAATTGGTGAATAGTCAATTTATTTATTCAATTTTTACTTCAAAATAACACAAAAACAAACACAATTAAGAAACATCCGTGAATTCCTTTATGGATGCTCTTGAATGGCCCTTCCAATATGAACCTAATACCCTTGACGGTTAATAACAACGCCTCTCTCTAGGCAAAAATAGTGTGTAACTATTCTCGTGTAAGGTTGGTCGATCCATGAGCCCTTTCCCTCCTTTAGGATCAACACAGAAGATATTACTGAGAATAAAATATGCTAGTAATCAATTACTAACTAAAGGGGTGCAAACCAAAGTTGGGATTGCAGTGTCCTTGGTTTTCAGAAAATCACCAAGTCCCGTTTCTCCTTGTCAGGGCAAATTAATGAAAAGTTGTTGAGCGGGTTTGAAGTGCGCGTGGTTTGGCTTACTGGGAAGTCTTGAAAGGCGTATCAATCAGTCGACACATACACGATGTTTACTTAACTGTCGTGAATTCTACAAATCCCGTAACCAGCTACAACAGTGAGAAATTCGGGTAGTCGCGTAAACCAACCAAACATGCCGAACATGAACACGTTTACATGCGATCATTCAAATGCATTCCGTGTGTACTGGTGAAGTATGGTTAACACTCCAACCTTACATGTAAAGTGTACGAGATATACACCCCGTTGCCACAAGGGATGTGCGTTGTTGATAAGCTCTAATTAGAGCAAAAGTTGAGTCAAGTGCTTCCTCTTTCTGCTGTGAACCAATCAAAGTGTCTACACGGGTACGGAATGAGGACTGTTCCAATACGAACTATAGGAACTCAACTTATTTAGATTTTCAAACTATTCGTCAACTTACCGTGTCCGTAGCGATTTTATAGCACGGACGGTATAGTTAAGTATAGTTGAGTGAAATCAGGCACTACCTTTAATTTTGGGCGGACAAAGTTTGACACCGCCTAAGGAAATTTGCGCTTATTCCGTCTCTCACAATGTCCCAAATGATCTCCACTTACACTAAATTGATGACCATAGCAACCTATAAACTATCATTACCCAACCGAATAACGTAAGCTAACTGCAGTCTACCTGCCTGTGCTCTGTAACTGGTTATATTCGAGTTTTCAAAGCAGCAAGATTTAGTAAAAGCCGCGAAGAAGCCACCAGAGGAATACTGGAAACACAATAGACTTTCGTGATTAACATTCAACATGAAGATGGCTTGAATGAAGAGTCAGTATATCACTATGCAGGTTTTGGATGGGCGGTGGTAGCCTCGTGCGTGGAAGTCAACTTTAAATTCGGTAGACTTCTGAGGTGTTGGTTTACTTAAACAGTTAAACGACCAAGTAAAACAACTAACCATTCAGACCGTACTCTGATGTGACTGCACTTTCTATTTGTTTCTTTTTCCAGCACAGCCCATCGGACCACAATGTTCGCAGTGTTCCCGGCCCATACACAACCACCGGATGCTAACCTGATCAATCAATCCTATTCCTATTTATCTGGGTGCCAATTAAACCTTCCCACACGGACCATCCTTTTTGTTGTTCTTGATGTAATGAGGTCTCCAAATTATTCGACATAATTACTCATTCCGAGTCTTGCAGAGAATCGACTGCGACCGTCCTGCCACAGTCGAAAGGTGATCAACATTTTCATTCTCATGAAAGCCAGATGGAACTTTCTCATGCTGTGATCAGACATTTCTGTACGAATAATGCGTATCACACACACACCTACGTTCATATTATAATCCTGGACTGACACGGACGAGTGCTACGAAATCCGCGAACCAGCTGGTTGACTTTCTTCTATTTAACTCCCAGTTAGTCAGTAGGTCAGCTATGGAAACTCCCTGTAGATATACAATATTTTGCGGGCAAAGGTCACTGCTGAAGTATGTATTCTGGAGAGAGGAGAGAGGACTTTATAGGACACGATACATTAGGGGCGCTAGTAGAAGAAGGCTGCTTATCTTTCAGTTAGAAACCACTGTGCACACTTGAGTTCATTTCCACGAATTTTTCAATTTCACCGGTCCCAGTACCTGTGGAATCTTTAAAATTATTGAAGCTCTTTATCTTCATCGTTGTCACCATCACAGAAAATGATGTTTGCATCGGTTATCTATGGAAAGTGTTATAAAACTCCCGTATTACATGAAGATAAAAAAAGGATTAATAGGGTCCACGAAGTACCAGCACATCTTGAAACCTGGTCAGGCAACCTCAAAGGGGTCAGTATCAAAGGAGCCGTTTGCCCAGAGTTTCGGTCAAAGGTAGCAAGCTGACACATGGGAAAAAAGCAGACGCTGTTCCCTAGGCATATAACCGAAATCAGTCACCGTATTTGCGAGAGTTCTGACAAGTGAATCCGTCAGAAGATAATAACACCGTTGGATGATGCGATAAGATAATGTATGTCAGGGTTGTCCTCTCAAACTCCGGCGACACAGTTTGTGATAAAAGTGGTTTTGTAATTATGGTTTTTACTCAAATCAGCTCATCTGTACAAACGAGAAAATGTGAACATAAACGGTACATGGCGTCAAACCAACTAAGCCAGTTCTTCAGGGACGTTCCGGTGAAGAATTAAAGAACATTTTCCCCATGAGCCAAATGCACTTGCCGCCAAAAAAACCGTTTTATTTTGTTAGCGGTATCCACGACCAAACTGCCTACGAATCGCAGCCAGGATGCACCCGAGCTACGCGTTTGTACAAAGTGTTCATTCTGTTATGACCGTTATGGCTGAAGAACTCTGAAATTAAAATGTCATGCACCAGTTATCCACCGATAAAGAAACGGAAAGGTGACCTCACTTTTCCTTTCAGAGTTGTTTTGAGCATCGAAGCTTCTAAGTTACTCTAGCTTCAATAAGGCAGCCATCACAATTGTTATTAAGTACATTGGACAACTGTGCCTCACGTATACAGAAAATGCCTCCACATTTCCCTGAAAATCAATTTTGATGATCTTTCTCCATGAAAAATTGAGAATAGACGATGAATCATACTCACGTATACAGAAAATGCCTCCACATTTTCCTGAAAATCAATTTTGGTGATCTTTCTTCATGAAAAATTGGGAATAGACGATGAATCATACTCAAATATCTCAAATTAACCAAGGTAAACGTCTCATCGGCTTTTTGCCTATTTGACAAGCCTTGTGAAGTTTTTTCGTTTCAAAGGGGTTTGGTAAACAATCGGTGGATGTATTGCTGGGCAACGTTTCGCTTGTGGAGTTTTATTTTTTGGGATCCGATTAAAGCATGTGGCTATTTCTGCGCAGATAAACAGCTTAAGCTTTTACAAACAACCATACTGTTACCGCTACGTGAACGGTTGGATAAACCGGAAGCCTCTCTTCGAGGTGACAGGTAGCAGACGGGATCTAAGGAGGCGCATTTAATACATGCTCAAACGGCCTTTAGAATGAACGACATCGGTTTCACTAAGACAGATATTTATTCACATAGGCAATGAGCAGTCACACATGATCACGTGGGACAATGAAACTGTCTTCACGGGTGCGAACACAAGTGATTTTGAACCATAGTTAAGAAAATCCCTTACGACGTTTGTCCCATTTATGACTCCACCTTTTGAAGAGACTATATAAAAAAGGTTGCCACGAATAGCCTGTTCTGAAGTGAATTTGACCGCCAAAATACACTAAATGGGATATAAAGACGTGACCTCCTAAGACGGATTGCTAGTTGCATGGTAGGAAAGCTTAAATTAGAAAATAATGTATGCAGGATGTGTGCAGCTTTAGGCTACACAGTACTGGAATACCATTTGACGACACCACACAACATGTGTCGTGCGGTTTACTTTTCCTTTCAAAAGGAGCGCCCCCGTAAAGTCAATAAAGCAATATTTTCAAGTTAGTTTACATGTTGATAACGACATAATTGGGCATGTATACCCTGTGGTGGGAAACATTATGACTGAGCTTAGGCATATCAAGCAAATACAAATGCGTCATGACCATGTCGTCAGAGTGTACTTGTCGATGCCAAACCATACAATCTGATTGAACCTCATCAATTATTACTTTGTTAACAACATCACACATATATAAGTACCTCTGCTATCACTTGAATTTGGAAAAGCAAAAATTTACACCACGGGATTGTGCACCGTCTTGGACCCTCTTAACGGAATGGTCTTAGAAGAAAGGGTAGCCATTAGAACGAGGTGTATTGTGTTGGAGGTCAGATGTATGAGGGTTACGATAACATAGCGTCAACTTCAGTGAGTCAGCGCATTTTTACCAAAACTTAAAGAAAACGAATATTTTACTCCTACGATTTAAGAAAATGATATCTTCAAGAGCCCCGCACCTAGGACAGTTTTGGGTCCCTACTCGGTAAGTAGTCTTTGATCAGGGGAAATGCTATGCTTCTTGTGACTCCAGAAGACATTAACTACGAAAATGCTCTCAATTTTGAACGCCCCTAAACGGTCAAAAATTCTGTGCACACGAGATATCGAAAAAGTGGCCTTTCACCTCCGTAAAAACTCCCACCTTCGCATTTGCGTTTGGTGCGATTGCTATCAATGGCGTATCGAGCAAACATGGATTCAAATTAAAAATCAGATCTTTAAGGTAAATCTAATTGACTTATGTCGTTGTCAGTTTTGGATTAAGTGTGGTGTTCGTTGACTTCGTAGCTTCCTTAATATGGTATAAATATTTTTTGATCACATTCGGCACTTTGCCTCCAGAAGCACAACATGTGTGAAGACGATTCACTTGGTCCGTGTCACAGTGTGGATGTTATGCGGATTTATGTATAGTGTTTGAAGATTCGGAGAACCATTCAACTGAAAAAGGATCGTGGAACTAATGGAACGGCCTATGAAAAAATAGACTGCACACCCGAATGTCCTGCGGATTTATGTATAGTGTTTGAAGATTCGGAGAACCATTCAACTGAAAAAAGATCGTGGAACTAATGGAACGGCTTATGAACAAAATAGACTGCACACCCCGAATGTCCCTCAGAGATGCTCATCCACCGGGTGTAAACAGTTTTCCCCTCTGAAAGAGAGTTTCTTAGGAACAGACATCCAGCTCGATGGGAACCATTTTTGACTGGTTTCATTGAAATCTCTCTCAGACTGGTCTACCTGGTCTAAGAGTTCATTCCTGATAGGTCGCTTTAGGTAAGCTTTCTACAGTAAGTGAAGGTACTATTAAAAACTCCAGATCCTTTCGATGTATTTTTGACATGTGTGAAGTCAACTGAAATGACAGCCGATGGCCTTTACCTCAAGGCTGTCCATCCTAAAGTCTATGGAATGTGTTAGGAATGTCATTTGAGGATGCGCCTGCACTCAACAAAGCAAATCGCACAGCTTATTCACTGATCAAGCGAAATCTAACCTCGCGAGGTGCGTGGATGTTCCTGTCCTTCATCTCATAATATGGTACGTGTTCGGTGACATTTAAAGAGTTTTCGGGTACAGACGAGCCGCTCAAAAGCTGTTCAAAAAGCGCACTACCAACCGATAAGGTGGTCTCAGTCCGACAAATATGAATTTGGTAGGTGAAACCTCAGCCACATTTTGACTAGTTGCTTGAGCAGTGACTTCTCAGATGGAATTTTTACTCATCTTACGAAATTATTTTTTCTTTGAGTCAATTGTGGATTGCCACACTGCTGATCAGCCGCTCGACACCAAATCGCTATCGCCCAACCGACCGTCCGGAAATTCTCCGAGTTTCGTGATATGTGTATTGCTAATGATTCCAACTGAGGATGAAACAGCTTTACAGTGCTTCTCGGCTTTTCGGTACAGACTAGCTCCACTGACAAAGTAAAACGCACATTAGAATTTTGTTTGTTAGTCCAAAAATGCCATGACTAGATATTTTCAACCCTGAGGAGCAGATCCGCATGTTCTGGCAGCTGAACTTTCCTAATTCGCCTTCTGAATAGAGCATTCAGCATTACCTCTGTTCAACGGAACCCCAAGTTTATTCTCGTTTTCTTTCTTACATAATCCATCGAAAAAGTATTTAGGTGCAGAAGCATCTGCCTACAGTTGTCGTCGATATATAGGACTGTATGGACAACCTACAAATAGCTCCTGTTTCCTGTGAACTTGGAAGCTAGGAGACCACATCGCAGTAGAAACGTATCGGTGGACAGCAAAGGTAAAATTAACAGCACAAGTTCCGTTACCCATGCCCTTCGCACTCCAGGAAGTTGCTGTCAACTAATACTTGTCATTATAATGAAAACCGTCCTACGTAGATCCCCGATTGTAGAAGAGTTTCCGTTTGGGAAAGAAAGATGAGAATATTTCTTCCGTAGCAAGGATGGTCTAAAATGTTGCCCTGAAAGGACTACACTGTCTCGATAAGCGTACGGATTGCTAATAAGTAGCCAAACTTTTAGATGTGAAGTCCCTTGTGGTGAATATGACCACAACTGTGCCACTTTGGAAACACCGGTTCTTCTCTGACTATTGAAGTCAACAAACTTTGGGCCCGGTTAGTACTTGCATGGGTGATCCAATGGAAATAATGTACATTGGGGTCGTTCCTCCTTTTGCCTCATAGGAGATGCTGTGCCTGGCTAGAGACACTGCAAGTTATGGCTGCCAATGGGCTGCTGTCGTTGGCTTTATTGTCGTCAATTTTCACTTGGGTTGGCGCAATGAGTATTTGGAGGTGTTAGCGTCTCC